GGGGGTCTGATTAGAAGGTTTGTTGTGCATCTCGGTTTTTTGGAGTTCAATGTGAATTTTGTGAATATGGATTGGAGTTTAGAGAAGAAGGAATCAGGAATTGGGATGGGAAGAGTCCGGAATAGGTATAGTATTTTAGGGAGAATGCACATTTTTAATGACGCAATTCTTCCTAGCGTTGATAAGGTGGAGGTACGTAGGTGTTTTTTAGTTCTTGAGGAATTGATTCCAATAATGGGGTGTAATTAGCTTCAAACAGGTGTGAGGTGGTAGATGTGAGTTTTATGCCTAGGTAAGGAATGTTGTGGTCTTCCCATATAAAGGGGTATTGTTCGGTTATCTGTTTTTTTTGATCTGTGGAGATAAATAAAGATTTAAAATGGAGGATTTGTTTGCATTGAGTTTATAGTAGGAGACTTTTGAAAATTCGTTGAGGTGGTTATATATTGTTTGAAGTGATGAAAGAGGGTTAGTGATCATCAGTATGATATCGTCTGCGTAAAGGCTGATTTTGTGTTCTGTACTTAGATGGGTGATCCCAGTAAACCTTTTGTCATCTCTTAGTTTAGATGCTAGGGGTTCTATGGTTAATATAAATATAATGGGGGATAATGGGCATCCTTGTCTAGTGCCATTAGATATTGAAAAAGGGGAAGATAATATACCATTAGTTAATACTTTGGCAGAAGGGTTGGAGTATAAGGAAAGAATTGCAGATAATATCCAGCCTGTGCTTCCAAATTTTTGGAGGGCTAATTTCATAAATAACCAATGGATGCGGTCGAATGCTTTTTTCTGTGTCTAATGAAAGTAGAAGTGATGGCTGTGTATCTAACTCGAGATTATGAAGCAGGGATATTAAGCGTCTTGTTGCGTCTGGTGCTTGTCTATTAGGGATGAAACCTACTTGATCAGGGTTGATCAGAATGGGGATGTATGGTAATAAACTTTGGGCAAGTATTTTAGCATAGAGTTTAATGTCTGTATTTAATAGAGAGATTGGTCTATAATTTTGGACCAATTGAGTGTCTTTTTGTGGTTTAGGTATTGTTGTGATAATTGATTGTAACATTTCATCAGGGAATTATCCTGTTAAGGCAGCCTGGTTGTATATGTTAGATAGATGAGGTGAAAGGCTTGTGGCAAATGCTCTATAAAATTCATTAGTGAAACCGTCCGAGCCTGGTGATTTGTTTAACGGAAGTGTTTTAATGGTCTTTTCTATTTCTGTGTGGGAAATTGGCATTGATAATGCAGTAAGTTGAGTTTCATTTAGACGTGGTAAATTAGTAGAGTCTAGAAACTGTTGGATTGTTTCTATTGTGGGTTGTGTAATCTTGGAGTCGTCTTTAAGATTATATAGGGATTGGTAGTATGACGCGAAGGCGTCAGCCATATCTCGTGGGTTTGTAAGGAGTGTATGTGTGTGTGGGTGCTGTAGTGTGGGGATCTTATTTTTGAGTCTTTTTTGTTTAATTGTTTTAGATAGTAGTGAGCTCGCTTTGTTACTAGATGCATAAAATTTGGCTTTTGATCGTTGTAGGTTTAGATCGTAGTGGTGGAGTAAGATTGTACGGAGCTTACCTCTGTCTGATGATATTTTATCGGTTACGGAGGGTGTCGGGTTTTTTTTGTTTATCTCCTCATTTCTTTTGATGGATGTAAGTAGTTGGTCGATTTGTTGTGATCTCTGCTTTTTAATTCGAGAATTTAATTGAATGAGAATACCTCTCATATAAGCTTTGTATGCTAACCAAATTGTGGTCATGGATACATCTGGGGTATTATTGGTGTCAAAAAATACTTTGTGTGCATCTAATAAAAATTTTTGGTGTTCTGGGGTCTTTAGTATCATCGAGTTCAGCCTCCATATGGGTGGGAGTATCGATCGTTGATTGTCGTCCAGTGATATGGTGACAGGGGCATGGTCAGACCAAGTTATAGTTCCAATACTTGAGAAGGTTACGTGCTGCAGTGACCATTTATCTGTCAGGAAGTAGTCGATCCGAGAGTATGATTGGTGGGCTGGGGAGTAGTATGAGTAGTCCTTTTCCATGCTGTGTTGGCACCGCCATATGTCATAAAGGTCATTGTTGTGTAGAAATTGGTTGAAGGCTGGTTTGAGAGATTTATTGGAAGATGAAGAGTCTAATTTCGGGTTTCCAATTATATTGAAGTCTCCTCCCATTATGAGTCTTCCTTTCTTTACACAGTTGATGTTCTTTATTATTTTGTTGAAGAAATTAATCTGGCGTTTGTTAGGACCGTATACATTCACCAAGGTGTAGTAAAGGACATTAAGTTGGCAAACAAGTATGTGGAAACGGCACACAGGGGGTCCACAGATTCTGAGATAAAACTAAATTGGATAGAGTCTTTTATAGCCGTAATTACTCCGTTTTTTTTTTTTTGGGTTGGTGGCCATAAAAATATGTGGAAAGTGAGTAAGTTGAAGCTTGGGGGCCTTATTTGTAGCGAAGTGGGATTCTTGAACAAATATGATATCTGGATGAAGTTTTTTGAGTTCTTTGTGGAGCATCGATCGTTTGAATGGAGAGTTCAGACCGTGGGCATTTAGAGAAGTAATGTTAATCATGGTGGTAGGTCAGTTGGGTTGTCATTCTTGATCTGTGTGATGTTTAAAGTTGTAAAGGTATTTGTAATAGATCCAGGATATATTCTTGAAGCTGTATTAGTAGGCGACGATTGATTGTGCTTTGGAGGTTGTTGTATGTCGACTGGTGACATGGAGGAGGAAAGAGGAAGTGGGGTGGAAAGGTAAAAAATAGCCTTGCAAGGAACCTGAGTAGCCGGACCGGCTACTGCCGAACTAGAGGACTTTATTCAGGTTTAGACCGGAACATAGGCCAAACCTGGAGAACGTATGAAAGAACAATCTTCTCATCTGTGGCCGAATGCCAGATTATTGAAGAATAGATTCACAACTTAGGTTTGGAGTTGTGATTTGGTGTTTGCTGTGTATTTTGAATATTCATGTTTGTTCCATAGGTTGAGCATGAGTTGGTTGGTATTGTTGTGAAACCTCGGGAATTATTTTCCAGCTTTTGAGTAGTTCTAGGCCTTCTTCCATATTTTTAATTGTATGGATTTTGCCATGTTGTCTTATGGTCAATTTTGTTGGGAATCCCCACTGATACGCTATGCCATGGTTTCTTAGGGCTTTGGTTATATTGATAAATTTTTTGCGATTAAGCAGTGTAAGCTTGGAGAGATCTGCATATAGACGAAGGTTAGCATGAGATGGCGGGAGATTAGACATGTTCCTGGACTGCATCATGACTTTCTCCTTAACGTGGTAAAAATGTATTCGAGCTAGGACGTCTCGTGGGACCGAGGCGGGTAGAAAGGAGGGTTTGGGGAGTCGGTGTGCTCTGTCAATAGCCAATTCTCCTTCAGATATTGTGGGTATCGCGATTCTCATATATTGGTGTATATATGGTATTAGGTCCTCATTACTGACGTTTTCGGGGAATGCCTCTAAATTTGATATTATTCCGCCTCGAGCGGTCCTCTAGATCAGCAAGTTTCAGTTTAATTTGATCAATCTCTGTGGAATGTTCTGTATGAGCGTCAATCAGATCATTATGGCTGAAATGATATCACTAATGTTGGTTTCAATGTGTTGTATTCTATTTTCTTGCTGGTGCATTGCAGTGGAAATTTGTGCTAATGAGGATGCCATATCATTATGAAGGGTCTGGCGGAGTGACATTAGCATACTCTTCATGCATAGCTCTGTTAGCGGTTGGTCTGTAGCCGGGAAGGACTCTATCGCAGGCACCTCAGGGCTTATGAGGACCCCTGTTTGTATATGGGTCTGGAGCTAGGAGACTGATGGCCTGAGTCTAGCCTAGGCTTGGATTTTGCTGGGCTGCTGGTTGTGGGTGATAGAGGTGGAGATTGCTCTCCAGGGTCCCCTGGGTATAAGGGATACTGCAGCCTCGGATCCTTATAAGCCTGGGCTGTCTCCTGTCCCTCTGTGTCTGCTGCTGAGGTACTGCCGCCGGCGCCATCTTGGATCCCTGCATTCACTGCAGGGAAGAAGTGGGTGAGTTTTCCCGGTATTCCCGGGGTTTTGCGACTCCGGGTCATCGTGCTGGAGGATCGGGTGTCCTTCATGAGTACACTGGTACTCTTGAATCTCCCGGGGGTTTGTGTGTGCCGGTGTGTAATCTGGCGGCAGGACGGAGCAAGGCTAGTGCGGATCCGTCACTGAAGCCGGCCGCGCATGCGCCCCGCTTTAACCTCCTTTTTAGGTGACCCTTCATTCCCCAGCTTTTCCAATAGATCATTAACCATCCCACATCATGAATGTCTGTTACCTTCAAATTAGGCATTTTTATGCTTCTAGTCATGCCATTACCCCTACTTACCCTAAAAGTGTTTGAGCGAATTTGTAGTTCTACTCCTAAAGGAAAGGGTCTAGTTTCTGACATGAATAGCTTCTTAGGTGGTGCTATAGTTCCTGAGACCATCCATTTTAAATGCAGATGGGAAGAGGATTTTTTTTTACAATGTACTTAACAAGATGGGGATACAATGATAGACAATCTGTACACAATCCCTTTCTGTTAGAGAATCAAACTTCTAACTAGATGGTATTATACCCCTGTGGGCATCCATGCTATCATGAGGCTGCCCCACTCAAGTCACATTGTATCATATGTAGAGATGAGCGAAGTATTCAAAAATTCGATTCGGCTTGATTCGGCGAATTCGAGGAATAAATTCGATTCGAGGCGAATATATTCGCTGCAAATTTAACTTATAAAAAGGGTGTTTCTAGGCTTCAGAGAGCCTTTATATTAGTGCAGAACACTGTACCTTTATTTTAAATGCCCTTGGAGTCTGCTGGGGAAGAGAAATAATACTGTCAGTCATATGACATGCAGATGAGTGCCGTCGATCTTAGAATCACCGCACACTTCACTCATTTGGGGTCAGTCACGGGGCCAAAACCAGAGTGTGGAGCCACAGTGTGGCGGTGGAGGCAGCAGCAATGGGAGGCCATACAGCACCCTATGACAAAATGGAACCACCAGCAGTGTGAGGAAGACCTGAAAGTGGCACATGGCAGAGTGTGGGCGATGGAGACAGCAGCAATGGGAGGCCGTACAGGGACCCATGAGAGACTCTGGACTTGGCAGCAGCATGAGGAGGCGGTATATAGGGGGCCCATGGCAGATTACGGGGACCTGGCAGCAGCAATGGGGGCCCGTAATCTGCCAGCACCCTAATGAAAAAAAATGGAACCCACCAGCAGATGTGAGGAGACCTGAAAGTGGCACATGGCAGAGTGTGGCGTATGGAGACAGCAGCAATGGAGGCCGTACAGGGACCCATGAGAGACTCTGGGAGGCCTGGCATGCAGCATGAGGGCAGGCGGAGTCGGCTGGGGCCCATGGCAGATTACGGGCCTGGCACAGGCAATGGGAGGGTAATTGCCGTAACTCTGCCAGCACCCTATGACAAAATGGAACCCACCAGCAAGATGTGAGGAGACCTGAAAGTGGCACATGGCAGAGTGTGGCGATGGAGACAGCAGCAATGGGAGGCCGTACAGGGACCCATGACACACTCTGGACCTGGCAGCAGCATGAGGAGGCGGTACAGGGGCCCATGGCAGATTACGGGCCTGGCAGCAGCAATGGAGGCCCGTAATCTGCCAGCACCAGCTATGACAAAATGGAACCCACCCAGCAGTGTGAGGAGACCTGAAAGTGGCACATGGCAGAGTGTGCGCGATGGAGACAGCAGCAAAGAGAATAGCCGTACAGGGACCCATGACAACTCTTGACCTGGCCTGCCGCAGAGGAGGAGGCGGTACAGGGGCCCATGACAGATTACGGGCCTGGCACAGCAATGGGAGGCCCGTAATCTGCCAGCACCCTATGACAAAAAATGGAACCCACCAGCAAGTGTGAGGAGACCTGAAAGTGGCACATGGCAGAGTGTGGCGATGGAGACAGCAGCAATGGGAGGCCGTACAGGGACCCAATTACCAGACACTCCTGGACCTGGCAGCAGCATGATGGAGAGGCGGTACGGGGGCCCATGGCAGATTACGGGCCCTGGCAGCAGCAATGGCGTGGCCCGTAATCTGCCAGCACCCTATGACAAAATGGAACCCACCAGCAGTGTGAGGAGACCTGAAAGTGGCACATGGCAGAGTGTGGCGATGGAGACAGCAGCAATGGGAGGCCGTTAACAGGGACCCATGACACACTCTGGACCTGGCAGCAGCATGGAGGAGGCGGTACAGGGGCCCATGGCAGATTACGGGCCTGGCAGCAGCAATGGGAGGCCCGTAATCTGCCAGCACCCTATGACAAAAAGGAACCCACCAGCATGTGAGGAGACCTGAAAGTGGCACATGGCAGAGTGTGGCGATGGAGACAGCAGCAATGGAAGTGCCGTACAGGGACCCATGACACCACTCTGGACCGGGCAGCAGCATGAGGAGGCGGTACAGGGGCCCATGACAGATTACGGGGCCTGGCGTAGCAGCAATGGGGGCCCTTAATTCTGCCACCCCTATGACAAATGGAACCCACCAGCAGTGTGAGGAGACCTGAAAGTGGCACATGGCAGAGTGTGGCGATGGAGACAGCAGCAATGGGAGGCCACGCCTTGACAGGGACCACCATAGTCGACACTCTGGCTACCTTTACTTCCTCAGCAGCATTGACGGAGGCGGTAACACCGGGCCCATGGAGATTAACGGGCCCTGGCTACTCCAGCCAATGGGAGGCCCTAATCTCCAGCACCCTATGACAAAATGGAACCACTACTGCCGTGTGGTAGGAGACCTGAAAGTGGCGGATGGCAGAAGTCCCCCCGATCCTGACCCGCCCATGTGAGCTCTTCCTCACTGTACAGGGGGCTGAGCCCACAGCACTGCGATAACTGCGCTTGGTGCACTGGGAAACCAAAGGACTGGGGGCAGGTAGAGGACACGTGATTTCAGGGGCTTGCTCCCGGGCCCTATGCCAACTAACGGTTGTGTCTTAGACGTACCCATGACGACCGTGTAGGAGGCTGAAAGTGCAGAGGTGACTCCTCACAATGGGAAGAGGAAGAGACCCGAGCCCAGCGACACCATCGATGACGGCAGGGTTGTGCAGTGGAGACCCGAACGACGCTGATGACTACCCGGAGCACTGGCCTCTGGGCCTGACTAGTGCTGCCTCGACACTTTTCCTCTGCGCCACCTGCTGGCTCCTAAACTTGCAGCTCAACTGTCCACCCTCTGTTCTGTTGTCTGACAGCTACTCTTAATCAGATTCTGTGTCCCTGAAGCAACGATTCTGATGTCCGACGAGGCTAACAATTGCAGCTGCCTGAGTAAGCTATCATTGCTGAGTCCCTCAGTAAACAATTCTGTGCCCCCTGAGCAGATTACTGTGTCTGTCCCTGAGTAACAATTCTGTGTCCCTCAGTAACAATTCTACGTGTCCAGCAATTCTCCTCGCGACCAGTAACTAATTCCGTGTGTGTGTCCCTGAGTACCGGATTCTGTGTCCTGTCCCATTGAGTAACAATTCTGTGTCGCCTAGGAGTACAGTTTCTGTGTCATGAGTAACATACACTCTGTCCCAGAGTACAATTCTGAGCCCACAGCAATGCTATACTTCCCTTGGTGAGGGAAAATCAGTAACACCAAAGGATTCAGGGGCCCTCAGGTAGAGGAATTCGTGATCCCTCAGTGGGCAATTGTGTCCCTGGCCATAGATTCTGCCCTCAGTAACAAAATGTGTCTGACGTCCCACCAGTAACGTTGGTCTGTCCCTGAGTGTCACAGAGGTGACCCTGAAGAACAGGAGGATTCTGTATCCCTGAGCCAACAACTAGCTCGTGTCCCGACTGAGGCTACAGTTCTGTGTCCCTGAGTAACAGACATCTGTGTCCCTGAGTAACAATTCTTTGTCCCATCAAGTAACACTGTGTCCTGCACTGTAACAATTCTGTGTCCCGAACATAACAATTCTGTGTCTGTCCCTGAGTAACAATTTCGCTCTGTGTCCCTCAGTACAATTCTGTGTGTTCTGTCCCTGAGTAACAATTCTGTGTCCTGAGTAACAATTCTGTGTCACCTCAGTAACAATTCTGTGTCCCTCAGTAACAATTCTGTGATCTGTCCCTGAGTAACAATTCTGTGTCCCTGAGTAACAATTCTGTGTCCCTGAGTAACAGTTCTGTGTCTGTCCCTGATAACAATTCTGTGTCCCCTGAGTAACAATTCTGTGTCCCTCAGTAACAATTCTGTGTCTGTCCCTGAGTAACAATTCTGTGTCCCTCAGTAACAATTCTGTGTCCCTGAGTAACAATTCTGTCTGTCCCTCAGTAACAATTCCCAGAGCTGTGTCTGTCCCTGAGTAACAATTCTGTGTCCCTGAGTAACAATTCTGTGTCCCTGAGTAACAATTCCTGTGTCCCTGAGTAACAATTCTGTGTCCCCTGGAGTAACAATTCTGGTGTCCCCTGAGTAACAATTCTGTGTCCCTCAGTAACAATTTCTGTGTCTTCCTGAGTAACAATTCTGTGTCCCTCAGTAACAATTCTGTGTCCCTGAGTAACAATTCTGTGTCCATGTCCCTGATAACAGTAAACAATTCTGTGTCCCTCGAGTAACAATTCTGTGTCCCCTGAGTAACAATTCTGTGTCCCTGAGTAACAATTCTGTGTCCCTGAGTAACAATTCTGTGTCCCTGAGTAACAATTCTGTGTCCCTGAGTAACAATTCTGTGTCCCTGATAACAATTCTGTCTGTCCCTGAGTAACAATTCTGTGTCCCTCAGTAACAATTCTGTGTCCCCTGAGTAACAATTCTGTGTCCCTGAGTAACAATTCTGTGTCCCTCAGTAACAATTCTGTGTCTGCCCTGAGTAAACAATTCTGTGTCCCTGAGTAACAATTTCTGTGTCCCTGAGTAACAATTCTGTGTCCCTGAGTAACAATTCTGTGTCCCTGAGTAACAATTCTGTGTCCCTGAGTAACAGTTCTGTGTCCCTCAGTAACAATTCTGTGTCCCTCAGTAACAATTCTGTGTCCCTCAGTAACAATTCTGTGTCTGTCCCTGAGTAACAATTCTGTGTCCCTGAGTAACAATTCTGTGTCCCTGAGTAACAATTCTGTGTCCCTGAGTAACAATTCTGTGTCACTCTGAGTAACAATTCTGTGTCCCTCAGTAACAATTCTGTGTCTGTCCCTGAGTAACAATTCTGTGTCCCTGAGTAACAATTCTGTGTCCCTCAGTAACAATTCTGTGTCCCTCAGTAACAATTCTGTGTCCCTCAGTAACAATTCTGTGTCCCTCAGTAACAATTCAGAGTCTGTCCCTGAGTAACAATTCTGTGTCCCTCAGTAACAATTCTGTGTCCTGAGTAACAATTCTGTGTCTGTCCCCAGAGTAACAATTCTGTGTCCCTGAGTAACAGTTCTGTGTCCCTGAGTAACAATTCTGTGTCCCTGAGTAACAGTTCCCTGTCCCTGAGTAACAATTCTGTGTCCCTGAGTAACAATTCTGTGTCCCTCAGTAACAATTCTGTGTCCCTCAGTAACAATTCTGTGTCTGTCCCTGAGTAACAATTCTGTGTCCCTCAGTAACAAATTCTGTGTCCTGTCCCTCAGTAACAATTCTGTGTCTGTCCCTGAGTAACAGTTCTGTGTCCCTGAGTAACAATTCTGTGTCCCCTCAGTAACAATTCTGTGTCCCTCAGTAACAATTCTGTGTATGTCCCTGAGTAACAATTCTGTGTCCCCAGTAACAATTCTGTGTCCCTGAGTAACAATTCTGTGTCCCTGAGTAACAATTCTGTGTCCCTGAGTAACAATTCTGTGTCCCTCAGTAACAATTCTCTGTCCCTGAGTAACAATTCTGTGTCCCTTAGTAACAATTCTGTGTCCCTCAGTAACAATTCTGTGTCCCTGAGTAACAATTCTGTGTCCCTCATAACAATTCTGTGTCTGTCCCTGAGTAACAATTCTGTGTCCCCCTGAGTAACAATTCTGTGTCCCTCAGTAACAATTCTGTGTCTGTCCCTGAGTAACAATTCTGTGTCCCTCAGTAACATTCTGTGTCCCTGAGTAACAGTTTTCTGTGTCCCTGAGTAACAATTCTGTGTCCCTGAGTAACAATTCTGTGTCCCTGAGTAACAATTCTGTGTCCCTGAGTAACAATTTCTGTGTCCCTGAGTAACAATTCAGTGTCTGTGTCCCTGAGTAACAATTCTGTGTCCCTCAGTAACAATTCTGTGTCCTCATGAGTAACAATTCTGTGTCTGTCCCTGAGTAACAATTCTGTGTCCCTCACACAGTAACAATTCTGTGTCCCTGAGTAACAATTCTGTGTCCCTCAGTAACAATTCTGTGTCTGTCCCTGAGTAACAATTCTGTGTCCCTGAGTAACAATTCTGTGTCCCTGAGTAACAATTCTGTGTCCCTGAGTAACAATTCTGTGTCCCTCAGTAACAATTCTGTGTCCCTCAGTAACAATTCTGTGTCCCTCAGTAACAATTCTGTGTCCCTTAGGGTAACAATTCTGATGTCCCTCAGTAACAATTCTGTGTCCCTCAGTAACAATTCTGTGTCCCTCAGTAACAATTCCTTGTGTCTGTCCCTC